ATACCCCCTTATATATGGAGGAGATCATTTGCGATGCCTAATAATAACTATTTCTCATTTCTTCTTTTTTACTTGCTAGAACTGTTATTTCAACCTTGAGTTTTCTTCACAAATATGGCTTGCTGTCCTGGTATGAACATTTGACATTCATTTCGAACCCAAATACTCCCTCCGTTCTTTTATTGTTCTACTCATTTGCCATTAGTTGTTTCCGTTTTTTTTTCTACTCACTTTGCTTTATTCTATTTTAGGTGTATACCCCCCCTTTAACAACTTACCCCTTTTACCCCACAAAAATTACACCTTTTCACATTCTCTTACTTTATTCACTTTTTTCCAACATCCACTCATCTTTTTATTTTTCCATTCTCTCTCTTACTAAATTTACACCCGATAACCATTTTCAATATTTTCTTAAATTGCATATCTACCAAACTGAAGAATAGAGGGAGTATTAGAAATTGGAAATTTTTATTTCGTATACTTTATATTTTAATATTTGTAATAGGGCTTCAGTAAGTTCAGTGTGAACACTTGGTGTGTTTGTCATGTGCTAGTTTCTTGGCCTTTTATCTTCTTTTGCTCTTTTACATGCTCTTTCTCTGGTTATATATATTTTTCTATTTATCTTGGATTGGAGTCTCTTCACACTTTCCTCAATTTATATGATTTTAGAAGCAGGAGTCCTCACCTGCCTTACTCCAAAAACAAATATAGAAATTTAAGATGTTGGCAGAAATCCAAATGTGTTTTAATTTTCATCGATATATAATGTCACTTACTCTTGTAAACAATGTTTGTTTCTACATATACTCAGGATTAAATTCTATAGGAAATTATTCTCCTTTTGGCTGCTAATATTGCTGCTATTGCATTGCAGAGATTTTATATGGTTAAACCTTGTCCCAAGGAGATGAAATGTGATGTTGAGGTGGGCCTTATGTTTTAAATTGTTCTTCATTTTTGAGCTATCAGCTTTTATGAGGCCACCTTTATCTCTGATCTCCCTCAGATGTGTACATTTTTTTTTCTTTTTTTTTTGCCTCTTTGAAGTAGCAATAGCCCCTGAATACTTTTCCCTTCCATATTTGACGGCCACATTCTTTTTCTCCATTAGATGACTTAGTTTCTCATATTACTATCAAGTTTGTGCACTGGCTAGTTAAGTTCTGATAAAGGCTTCTTACTTACAATGGCAGTTGAGTACTTTTGCCATTAGAGACATGGAGGAGTATAAGAACTTCTGTGATCGGTCAAAGGATCAACGTCCACTTCCTGAAGAAGTTATTAGGGTGAGTTTGCTTTAGCATACTTTATGTTTAAACATCCTTTGAACTGAACTCTTAACATTAATTTGCTTGAATAAGGTTAGTTTCATAACAATTCATTTCAAGCTTTGTTCTTCCAAGAACATCCTGATACATGTAACACAATGAAGAGGTATAGTAGGTTCAAAATGTATGTATAATTATATACTTATGTTGTAGTACCTTTTAGGTCTTGCTGTGATAGTTTTTCTCTGTAGTAGAAAATGGACTATACCAGATTTTCTACATGGTTAAGCTGTGAGTATAGGTTTAGGTTGCTGGAAGAAATACCAAATATGTCCATCACTGCTGTCAACCTTATGGGATATTTCTCCTGTTAAATAGTTTATCCATCATGCTAGAACTAATCCTGCTATTATTTACTTCAAAAATCAAATATCTCCTTCTAATGGTGCTGGAGGGTCATCTAGTCACCTGTGATTTTTTTTAATGCCATAAGTACTTGCTATGTACATTTATCATGTTATAATGCTTACATATATGGTGACGGGAAATGGGTTTTCTTCAGTAAGAACGTCTTATTTTTTATGACTGATTGAATTACGTGCACTTGTTGGGATTGATTAGAGGGATCTATATTGGTTTTTTCAGTACTAGACATTTCACATGCTCCATCATGGGTGTGCAAAACTGGATTTGGTGAACTGTTTGTTGTAAGTAGTATATAATGGCAGCGCATTTTCCTACCCTAAATCATATTTGTAATTTTGGTTAACCATATAATCGGAAAATCCGTTTAGTTTGTTCGGGTAATAAGCTATTTTAGTTTGCTTTGCCAACCTTGCATCAGCTTATAAAAACATATTGGTATGGTCATGAAGTCAAAGGACTTACTGCGTCATGTTTTGGCTTAAAAGAGGCCAGTAGGATTGAAATTCATTTAGGCAAAATTTATGAACTACCTTTTCCTAGGTAAAATGTACCCGAGTGAGACAGCTGTATTCAAAATCTAATTTCTAACACTTATTGAGAAAAAAAAAAAAAGAAAAAAAAAGTGAAGACAGGGAATGTCAAAAGCCAAATCAAGGACAAATTTAAGATTGACAAGTGGTAACCATACCAATGAGCTAAAATATATTTTCAGTAATTTTTTAACCATTAAATTCATATGTTGTTGGTTTAGGTATCCGAATTACAGAAAAATCATTAACCATATCCAATCTGAAATCTCGTTTTTATTTTCTTTAATGACATCCCAAATCCGATTTTTTCAGTCCATTTACCCTATATATTGGTTTGGTATATATGGTTTTGGGTCCAGTTTTCTGGATTGATCTATCTGATTATCCCTTTGCCCAAACTTTTACCTTGCCTTTCCCTTCCATTTGTGTATATATTGGTTTGTGTATATATTGGTTTCCTTTCAGTCCATTTACCCTATATATTGGTTTTGGTATATATAGCTAAACAGTCAACTGGCGATGAACCTTGATTGCCATAAATTAGATACTTATGGGACCTGTCACACTTAGTAGAAGTGGAACTGGGCATTGTAGACCCAATCTCATATACCTTTTTTTTTTCCTAGACTGGTAGTTGAAGGATGGCAAAGAATTTTAAATAAATCCTCAAATTTGACTTGTGAGATCCTTGGTAAATGTTTCCATTTGATAATTATAGTTAATAAAGTAATTAATTTTCCTTCTTAGCTAGATAAAGTATGGGCACGTCGTCCTATGTTAGCTGTTTGGCTATGAATGATGTCAAGTGGTGGAGGGACAGTCCAAAGCCCTAACAAACTTGGCTACCCCTCACTTCTTCATAATTAATAGGATAGGCCTTCAGGGATTGAACCACAGAATCCTTGGTGGTTAAGTAAAGCTAGGATAGCTGTATCCCATTAAGCAACTTACATATCTGGATATCCCATCATACACTTTCATGGCTGCTTTTTTCAGTCGCCATTTTGCAGGATATCGCAGAACATTTGACTACTATTCATCTCAAACGGTGTGAACGTGGAAAACACTGCTTATATGAAGGGAAAACACCATCAGAGGGATTTCCTAATACTTGGGTGAGTATTTTTCTATTCCTTGATGCAGGAAAGCTTCTTTCTTGTTCATATTTGACCAATATTTCCTTGTGTGTACAGAACAATGCCTCATACTGTAAATCAGAGCTATCAGTCTTGAAAAACAATGAGATACACAAGTGGGATAGAGGATATGATGAAGATGGGAATCAAGTAAGTTATATTTGTGGTATATAATTATATATAATGTGGTTGACAGATGCATTTTTGTGTTGGTTATTTTGTGGCTGGTTATTGAATTGTTAACTGTAGAACTGAATGCTATATATGCTACAGGTATGGGGGGTCAAAGAAGGACCTTATGAATTTAAGCCTGCATCAACGTCGAGTTTCAAGGACATGTACTCACCGGCGAATTTGTTATCCCCATTATCCTTGGACAAAAGGATAGAGGGATCATTTGTTCTACAGGAGTGATTACAAGCTACATGCATTATGTAAATCTTTTTGACATTTTCAAGATAGCGAGGAAATAAGTGTTATTATGAGCAAAATTCTCCTGTATTATACGTATACAGCTGGATGGTGGATCTAGTGCAGCCAGTAAGCCACTTGAAGTCCTCGTTCTTGAATCTTAATTCTTAAATAATGAAATGTCTAGTTCACTTGCCGTCAACTATAAGTTATGTTCAACAGTAAAATGTTCCATGGGAAGATACTTGGGCATGGCTTGCTCTTCTTAATTTGGTGGTACACACAAAGCTTTGTGCATCAGTTTTGGCATGTTTTCCCACCAGCCTCTGGCAAACACGAGAACTGATTCCAAGACTAAGACCATAAGTATTGCCATGCCACGTTAGGTTCATCAGAATCTTTGCTACAACCAGAATGTGGTCTGAACCTGTAGATGCCCCCCCCAAAAACAAAAACAAAATAACCTCTCCCCTGCACAGCAAAGAGAAAACAAAGAGACTGTTTTTTCAATGTTGGTCGTTGCATGGCATTTTATTCTTGCGGGTGCATTATGACTGTTAGCTATGGTGGAGGGCCTTGATTTAGTGTCCATTTGCAACTTTGGATATTCAAGATAACTAGTTGCAGACTTGCAGCTGTCCATTGAGGCGTATGAGATAAGATCCAAGTTAATTGAATACCTAAAAAATGGCAGTTAATTGTGCTGCTTCTGCAGATGATCTCTCTCAGAATATTTTTGGTTGAATAGGCAATAGATTATGTTTTAATAAATTCTGCTTGGCAAATAAATGTGAACAATTTGACTGTCAACTCAACGATTTTAATCCAAAGAAACCTGATGGAGTTTTATTTGCATGACCTTGTCAGCTCTTGAGGGCCAGTACTGATCATAATATTAGATTTTCAGGAAAGTCAGGTTGAAATTATGACAAACTATTGAGAGCATAGTTTGACATGTAGTTTTGTAGAAGACTGATTGAGTGACTGGCGTGACTGCTGGATGCAAGGATTATCACAATAGTTGATGCTGCTGGTATGTTTGAGTATTTGACCAACGTGATTGAAGGAATCGGATGAATGTTAGGCTAAGTACATAGGAAACAACTAGTATGTGGTAAAACATCAAAGCTGAAGCACTGAAGCACCTCAGATGATATTGTGTGTTTGCTGCTGTCAGTATTCTCCATCATCAGTTAAACAAATTCGTCAAATAACCAGAAAACTTAAAAACAGGAATGAGGACATTGAGATGATATAGAATATGATATCAATATGCTTTCATCATGTTTATGCTTCAATATTTCTCACTAGTACAATTATACAAAAAGAATTAAGAGTAGCAGTATCGATGTTAAAAGAGATCACTACCCTCACAAGTACAGGGTGATGAGAAAAAAAGCTATGTTGAGTACAAAACTTCAATTCAAGACCTTAATAGGTGTTGTCCAGGTAGAAGTATATTCCACCAAGAATTGCGATTCCAACAACAATGGCAATAGGCAATGCTCGTCTACAAAATAGAAGTAAAAAATATCAAAACTTTTACAATGTAATAGACCCACAGTTTTGTAGCATCACAGAATCAAATTGTATTGAACTTACCCAATGGCTTCGTCTTTTTTAATATGTTCTTTCCTTGTTTTTCAAACATCTTTGTCATTTACGTTTTTGGTTACAGGCGGGTCATATGCCCTGAATCTGCACTTTGGAGCTCCACACACTGCACAAGTTTCCTATCCGAGTTAAAACTACGATCTCTGGGATCATTACAGATTGCTATGCAATATACTAATATTGCATCTGTTCGATTTCTACTTCGAATATAAATATTTGAAACTTGTTTATTAATATGAAAAAATTATCTATATGTCTTTGTTTCGCAATTATGTAGTCTGATTTATTAATATGAATACATGTTGTCATGTTGATAAGGCTGATTTACAGCTTGTGCAAATCAGGAGTCAATTTCGTTTTTTTCACTCATAATAGTAAGAATACTCTTGTCAGTGTAGACATAACTTGGCAAACGTTGGGGTTAGTCAAACTAACGTTGAATCCGAAACCAGAAACCACTTCTTCCTCCACGCCAACACCTCCCATGGCAATTCAAAATGCCGCCGCGAATGAAAGGCTTTCCCTAAGGGGTTAATATGACCCTAATTTACACTCTTTTCTAGTAGGGTGTCCTTTTGTTTCGCCGCAAAGTGGTGAGGAAGAAGAGGAGGACGTCGGGTAGAAGAGGACGAAGAGGAAGGCTTTTGTGGGTTTGATCAGTGGAAGGCGGAGAGATGGTGGTGGCTGTGATGGGTTTCGGATGGTGGGAAATGTGGTGGAGGTGGACCAAATGGTTGCTATCTATGGTGTTACCATCGGAGGATTATTGAAAAAGATGGTTTTGAAAAATAAAAAAAAAAATGTAAAAAAAAAAAAACTAGACTGAAATACGACGTAGCAACGCCCTTCCAATCTCTTTAAAATGTTCGTCACATTAGTCATCAAACATACACATCAATGGAAAAACGCTACAATAGAATATGTATACATATATATATGGTGTTTTGGCTGTAGTTTTCCTTTTCCTAGGTGTCATTTTCTTCCTAACAGTTTTTGTTCTGGTCTGGTTAAGAGGAGAAGTGGGTTGAGAATGTTTTGGTGGAGTTGATGGCTAGGAACCATTTTCTGGCTGAGAACTTTGTTCTGCCTGAGGCTGGGATGGGCTTGGGAAAACCTCATCAGCTACTGGAGTCTGAAACACTCTAACATACTCAACTCTTGAGTCCTCAGCAACAACCACGACAGGAACCTCTACAACAACAATGTAAGGTTGTTGTTCATCACGCTCCATCTGAGCTTCCTCTTCTTCGGCTAACCTCTTCTGTTTTTCCATGTCTAACCTATCCCTCTCAACTTTCTGTTTTAACCTTCTATGCCAACTAGCTTTCCCTTTCCTCCAACCATACATCTATTGTTTCCTTACCCACATTCCACTGCCACATTTTCAACATATCACCATCAACACATAACTCCAGTTTCCTATTAGTTCTAGGTTTGTTAACAAGCAAAGCAAAGTACTTAGGGAGCCACACATTTTGCTTGACAGAGTGCTCAAACATAAACTCAAACAAATCCATTAAACTAGTCCGATTTGTATCATCAACCAACACATCAAAACCACCATCTCTACAATGGACATTCAGCCACACTTTACTCATCCTATCAACAAAAATTACCAAGTTACTCAACACACACAATTCACATCCACACACACACATGTCAAACCACATAATATTCTAACACTTCACAAAATCTCATTTAATGAATCAAAATCACAGAAAAGTGTAACCCTAACATACAAAAAAAATACATTTGCCACAGTCAAACCCATAATTCAGTAAAATAACATGATTTTAAACTTAACATCACAACATTTAACTCAACCAACCATTCCCTAACTGTAATTCGATTATCAGGAAAAATTGACAAAATCGGTACTCGAATTGAAGATCGATGGACAAAGTGTTACCTTGCGTGCTAGTTTGGAATGGTAACAACACTATTCAAGCTTTGATTGACTACCACTGCTCCCTCCTCCTTGCGAACAACGACTTCAGTTCCCCCAAATACAAGCACAGTTACTACTTCGTGCTACTACCGATTGCTGATCAAAATTTAGACTTAGAAAAAGCTTCCATGTTGATCGAATTGCACGGTTGACTGATGAAGACTTTGCATGAAGAACAGAGAAGGGTGAGAGGATGAAGACTTCGACTCCTCAACATTTAATTATTTAAGTTATTAGGTCAAGTCAGGGAGTCAAAAGGCTTTATGGCGCCATTAAACACAATAAGGGCAAAATTGTCAATTCACAGTAACGGAGAACTAACGGGTAGACCTCATTAATGGCATGACATGACATTATTCTGTTTGTCAGTGGCATTTGGTGAATTTTGAAAACCCCGATGACATTTGGTGAATCATTAAAGTGCTCAGTGGCATTTGGTGAAATAACCGTTTATTTAATTAAATCCATTTAGCTAACGTGGCCTTGTCTAGTTACTAACGGACAGTTAAGATTAAATAACTACTTTAATTTATTAGTACTTTGAAATATATAATTAATATATACCCCCACCCCCAAGAAAATATAATACTTAAACTCCAATAGCATATAGTTTAATGTGAAGTTCCAGTTGCATGAATCACGATACTTGATAAATTGGCTATATTTGTTAAACTTAAATCATTATAAGTCCCTTAAGTATAATCCCTTCTATCTCAAACTTCACCGTGAGTAGACCACGTCACAGTCATATAAAATACCTATACACTACCAAAATTATATACAGTATTGACAGTATACCATCACAACGCTCGAAATAAAGTCGTATTTGTTATTGTGCACTGAAATGTCAAACTAGATTGTATTATTGTTCGATCCATGGATCAATGAGATACACGTAGTATATATATTTCTGGCAATGTGAAGAAAAGATATGCTAGCTAGAATGGTTAATTAATTAGTCTATGCTTTGATGTATTCCTTTATTTTAATAATTGGGTAGGGTTGACCCATGCTTTGTATTATTGTAAGGACTTTCACGTATCCCACTAGCCTTTTTATTATCCTTATATATGTGTAGCATCATCACCAATATCATCTTAGACTATTTCTTAGCTTCCCTCTAAATCAAAATAAAATGGCCATTTCTCTCTCAAATATGCAAGCTCTCCCCTTCACCACAAACCATAATCTTTCCCTTAGATCCGAAAACCCGTTTCCTGTAACCTTTTCAACCAGAAATTACCCTTTTAAAAGTTCGGAGGTGGGAGCTCTTACCATTAAACCGACCTCATCAGAAGTACAAGTTTTATCAAGTGATGCATTGACATCATCTAGAGTGATTGAAGAACCTTGGAAAGAAACAGGAGTAGAGTATGGGCCTACAATGAAGGAAAGGGCCGAAAACGAGTTAGTGGATCGTTGGAAGGAGATCCATGGGGAAGATGATTGGGTTGGGCTTCTTGATCCAATGGATTCTCTCTTACGGGCCGAGCTTATCCGATACGGTGAGATGGCCCAAGCCTGCTATGATGCCTTTGATTTTGATCCATTCTCAAAGTATTGTGGAAGTTGTAGGTATCTAAGGCACTTGTTCTTCAAGGGTCTTGAAATGGAAGATTATGGGTATGATGTAACAAGATACTTGTATGCTACATCCAATATTAACCTGCCAAACTTGTTTAGGCATTCGAGATGGCCCAAGGTTTGGTCCAAGAACGCTAATTGGATCGGGTATGTGGCGGTATCCAACGATGAGATGTCCAAGAAATTGGGCCGTAGGGACATCAGTATTTCTTGGAGGGGCACCGTGACCCGGCGTGAGTGGGTCCATGATCTAATGGACTTCCTTAGGCCTGTCTCCGATGAGAAGATCCCATGTCCAGACCATAATGTGAAGGCCGAATCCGGGTTCTTGGACCTATACACCGATAAGGTCCAGGATTGCAAGTATTGTAAGTTCTCGGCCCGTGAGCAAATCTTAACCGAGGTGAAACGTCTATTAGAGTTGTACCACAATGAAGAAGTGAGTATAACAATAACAGGTCATAGCTTAGGAAGTGCCCTAGCTATATTGAGTGCTTATGACATAGCCGAGACGGGCATTCACATTGGATCAAGCAGCCAGGCTAGGCACATATCCGTGTTGTCGTTTTCGGGTCCACGAGTTGGGAACTTGAGGTTTAAGCAGAGGTTGGAGAGGCTAGGGGTGAAAGTGCTTAGGGTGGTGAATGTGCATGATATGGTTCCAAAGGCACCAGGATTGGTAATAAATGAAAATTTACCTCCGGAGTGTTTAAAATTTGCGCAATGGTCACCTTGGAGTTATTGTCATGTAGGGGTTGAGCTTGCTTTGAATCACAAGAATTCTCTATTTCTTAAGGACACCAACGACCCAGCTTGTGCCCACAATTTGGAGGCCCACTTACATCTACTTGACGGGTTAGTAATCTTATTATATACTCGATTTTAACATTTTCTCAACGCGTTTTCTATGCGGCTTGTCACACCGTATGGCGACTTATAAAAAACCGTAGAACCCCTATAACACTGATAGAGTGACCCTTATTATACTAATAGAGTAACCTTATATTACTAACAAAGTAACCCCTATAACCCTAACCGAGTAACCTATTATGGCTGGTCACACGATGTGATTAACCACATATAAAAGTTAGTGTATGACTTATATTTTTAAAGTGTATAATGATTAATTCATTTATATAAAGGAAAGAAAATATAATACCAGGGAAGCATTTCCTCAAGGAGAATATTTTATGCGTTGGAAGAGAAAAATATTTTCATGAATTAAATAACCAGCATTAGTAATTGTCCTTAATTTGTCCTGCGATAGATGGAACATAAAAAATACTACCATAAGTATTGAACTTAATCATATATATGTATTTATTAACAAAAAAAAAAGTAATGTACATGATGAATCTATTTTGATTATGTATGATTCTATATTGTTATGCAGGTATCATGGAAAAGGGAAAAGATTCCATCTAACAATGGGAAGGGACATAGCATTAGTGAATAAATCATGTGATTTTTTGAAGGATCACTATCAGATCCCTCCTTGCTGGAGACAGGATCACAATAGGGGGATGGTCAGGAGTAAGGATGGCCGTTGGATCCAGGAACAGCGTCCAGTTCTAGACGATCATCCTGATTATACTCATCATCACCTTAGACAACTCGGACTTCCACACTAATATTCTTTCTATACATCTTATTAGAGATCAAATCTTGTCTACATCACTACCCCTATAACTCTTTATACACCCCTTCCAAAAGACACTCTCATGTACTAAGTGTGCAAAAGCCGAAGCTCCATTCTAGATTGTAAATCCCAAAATCATTACATCTGTATCTGTAAACCAGGTACAAATTGTGTATAATACTTCATACATAATGTTTGTATTTGTAGTTGGTTTATTCTTATAATATACTACGTATTGGTCTTGGTCGTATTCCCTTTTATTGGAAATAATTGACAAACAAGTACTTATTTGAAACATCCAAAAAAGATGAAATTGACAACTACAACTAAAATGGGACTGCAAGATAAGCTGATAAGGTACTTTATAACACAAATAAGGCTGAAAGAAACTCACTGAACAATCTAAACAACTCAAAAATTATTGCTTTGTCAAAAACTGGAAACATATTTCCGAATGATGAAATACAAATGCACAGTCCTACTTCCAAATAGCGGAAAAAGGATAACGGTGCAAAAACAAAAATCAATCAAGATCCCAACAAATCCCAATGTACAGTATCAAATCGGTAAAGGACAAGGGACAACGAGGTATACAACAGAACAATCAACCTTCAGTAAGCACAATTGCAATTATATGCACATTATTCATAATTACAACAAAATAAACTCCATTACCATGAAGATTTTCAAGTTCTGGTTGAAGTCTTTGGCTTTTATAAGCATAAAAGTTCCATTGTTCATGATCAGGAGGATGAATCACCCTCTGGAGGCAATATTGACATGGAAGATTCATCACAGCGGGCATCTAGTTACTGTTGCAAAGATATGAATTGTTACAGGACTACAATGACGGGCAAACCAAATGTTAAAGAAAATGTAGGTGCAAGAAGATGACTAGAAGCATCAATATGTTCATTCTATCCCAGGCACAATATTCTTGTCCATTTGTTCAGATTATTGTCTAAAGTTCTTCCATTCAAAGGTTGTCTTTTCTCACAGAACTAGAAAAATTCAAAGCAAAGTAGCCATTACACAAATAACATTATGTATTCTTCTTCAAGTTTCAACTGCGTTAAAGTTCACATTGCCAATGGGGTCGTAGTGTCCAACAAGATGTTTCAAAAGAAACAGCATTGTTCTTTACAACAAAAACAACTAGCATGTATAGCTTCTCACAAAGCATGCTATGCATAAATTTTGGTAAATTTACATGCAGATCATTAGCTAAGGTTACAAAACTTGTTTCACTCAGCTGTATAAATTAATCAATCCAAATAATTGATTGTTCATTAAACAAAACCTCTGGAAGAAAAATGTTATTTTTAAGGAAGCAAAAAAATGTTTCTGATTTGGAAAATTGGAGGCATTAACTGAAGAAACTAGATAGGAAGAGGTATCAGATTGCTATAGAATTAGACTAGAATGCTTAACTTCTATATTTTCATTCTTCACAAAGCAACATGGGTATAAGAAATCAGCTTGAAAAAATACATGGATGTTTGTGAATGTTGTACTTTGGTAAGTGTTTTAGTTCTGATTCCCAATGCAGCCTGTGCACAAGCCTAAACTCCTGCAGCAGCTTTAGACTCGGAATCCTTTTTACCCTGAGCATTGAACAGGGAGGGTATCAGAGCTCTATTTGAAAAGAGAATTGATCTAACATCAAGATATACTACGTACAATACACATGGCTTACAGCATCGCACTTATTATTCTCCCATGTTATGGTATTGGAAAATAAAAGCATCGCACTAATTATTCTCACATGGTGTGGTATTGGAAAATAAAACTAGGAGCCTTAAGATAATAGTGTCCTGATGGTATAACAGGATATTCATAGCATAATACAATGTTATGCTTCAAGGTATAAGCTGCACTGCACAACCACATCAGTAAATTATTACCATAATCGCAACCAAGTTTCTAACCTTTGGCAGTTCACTGCGAATTTGGCGCGTAGGAGTCCTCATTGTGACAAACTCTTCTGCTGCTGTGGGATGAATTCCAATTGTTGCATCAAAGTCTGCTTTTGTCAAGCCAGCTTTCACTGCAACTGCAAACCCCTGAGGTTTAAAATTTTCAATCAGATAACAGCTGCTTACATAATTGTATCACTACATACCCTAAAGACAGGTTATGCATAAACCTGAACTATCTCTGGTGCATCATCTCCACACATGTGCAACCCAACGACTTTGTCAGTCTTTGCGCAGACTATAAGTTTCATGTAAACGCGATCTGGAAGACCAGATAATGTGGCCTTTAAAGGCCTAAAATTTGCAGAGTAAACATCCACGTCACCGTATGTTTCTATGGCCTGTAAAATCCAGCATTTTTTTAAGTAAACTAATCAACAATCACCAACAGTTGAGAGGTAAATAAAGTTCTCACTTGCTCCTCTGTTAAGCCAACTTGGCCAAGGGGTGGTTGAGAAAACACAGCAGACGGTATAGCTCTGCACAAAGGGAACAATAACATCTGTAACAAGTTGCTATGAAATTCACAATTGTGACCAGTGCAAACCACAGATTGAAGATAATAACTACCTGCTCAACCACTCAGCTCAAAGACATAGAAAAAGGAAAGAAAAGAAAATCAGGAATCGTAATTCGATTTAAAGGATCAGTCATAATATCAGAATATCAGATACGTTGAGAGGTTTTCCTCCAATTTTACCAGGGTCATTAACGATCTAAAATATGTGAGGCAAAGCCTTAGGAATAACAATCGCCAGCTAGATATTTACCGTATGCTTCAAGCCATCAACCAATTAATTAACTTTCCTAAATCGGCCAAATAAATTTGACAGCTTGAAGTGTCAATAGGAAACATAAAATACTTTATGATCAAGAAACCATGAGACAACTTGAATCATGATCTAATTTATGACAAGATTTGCCAACGAGTTCACCAGGTAGGACTTGGAGAGGGCTTTGTCATGCAAAAGTGAAAAGTGTATTTAAGATGTAGCCTATATATCCATCAAGGGCTCAAGTCACAAATGGTCCAAAATTTTTGTAAGCAAGCCTATTCATAAAACACTGGCTATGCCATGTAAGACCCTTAGGATCTACATGGCAGAGTCAGTGCTTTACGAATGGGATTGCTTATAGTAAACTAGACGAGACAAACATACACATGGTAGTATGGTACTAAATCAATTAGGTATAATACAGATCTCCTTCCAATTTGTAAAAAGTTAACCACTAATTGATAGTGAATTGGTGTGTGTGAGCTTTCCTAGTATTGCTACTTATTATCTAACTTTCAGCAACTAGGGTGGATTCATTGGCATGGACATTATCCATTTTGGTAGGCCAAAACTATAGTGCCAGCTGTCCCAATAAATTGGCCGATCAAAGGGATATCAATCAATCAATCAAAGCCTTAATCCCATAAGTGGGGTCGGCTACATGAACTAAATTTGATTATTTCGTGTGGTCATCCACAAAAATCTTCCTCCTCCATCCCTTACGATCCAATGCTTCATCCTCATGCAAATCCATATACTTCATATCCTTCCTAACTCCTTCCAACCAAGACATTTTAGGTCTGCCTATCCCTCGTTTAACCCCTCCATGATCAAAGGGATATATCATCCAATTATAATATGCCTGCTTGTTTGCATCTATAGCCTCGTACTTTATTCAAAAGTATCAATAAAGGTCTTCCAGACATGATCAACTCTAATAGTCTTTCAGTAGTAGCACAGGCCATTGCACAACGCTTCTTTTTGACTTTTAGTGGTCTTGATATTGCAAAGTTTTCATAATAAAGTTGGGCTTACATAAGGTGAGAGTGATCCTTATTTATGCATTTTATGATCAAAATGGCCCAACTAGGGTTCAGCAACATGGGAGAACTTGGAACCTGAGAAGTGAGAATAGCGTTAAGTTAGGAAGGAGTTTGGTTGAGATTCCCATCTCTCCTTCCCCACCACATCTAGATCTTAGAAGGTTGTTCGAGGAACTTCTCTTGATCTCACCAAGTCACCATCAACTTTTAAGATATTTTAACCTATATATAAAGCTTTCATGACCTCATCCCTTTCGTCAGTCTTAAGGGATTTGGTGAAATCTAAGTCCCTCCATAACATCAAAGAACATAATGATCTTGTCGACCACAGGAAGGATATTCAAGGGTATGGTGTTCAAAATGAGCCGTCCAGTTCTCACATATGACCTTTAGTACCATGCCATATACTGTCTAAAATGGACATCGAAGGACTTTAAGAGTTGAAAGGTCTCTTGAATGCCCAGGACTTTTCCCATCAATTTTGAGGTAGTATAGCAAATTTTAGAAAGGCTATCATAACTTATGGCCGTCATAGGATAGGAGTCCACTGTTTTTAAAGGCTCAGCTAAGGACCAACCAATCTCAATACCTTTTATTTTGGTTTTAATCGGCTACAATAGCCTCACAAGTCAGCTATTGCATATGAATAGTTGAAAAGTCATTATATGGAGATAACCTGGGTCAAGTGTCACCAGCTTTAAAAGGATCCGATGATCATAGGAGGTTTTCCATTGTCTCAAAGACTACCCACCACTTATTTCTGAGATTTTTCCTCACAATCATCTCCTTTTCGATGCTCTGGCACTAACTCAATATTACTAGAAGGCAGATAATTATGTAACAAACTAACCTGAGGAGGGGCATAATGGGTAGCATAGTATTACTATGTTAATAGTCTTTAGTTTTATATAAACTAGTTAAATTCCCGTGCAATGCACGGATTTTACTAAATTATATAGTGAAGTACAACATTAATGCTTGTGCAATAGATGCACGGTTGTTTAATGCGGAGTAATTATAATACAACAAAATTATAGAACAACATAAAATAATTATGGACTCGACACCAATTATTAGAAAGTATGAAGTATATAAATAAAATAACCACATATAATAGTTATAATGAACAATTTAATATTTTAGAAAGTTTAGTTTAGATTTTATATAAGCAAATCTCATTATTTAGATACAATGATCCTTCATTATGGTATGAATTTTTTTTTTTAAGCAAATACTTTTGGAGGGAAAATACTCAATACAATGCTGCCAAGTGTCATTTTAGGTTCGTCTTTAGTAATATGTAATAGATAGAGGGGAAGGGGAAAGGAAGAGGCAGGCAGTTTTGTAAGTGAATTCTTAAGAGAGTTGTGATCTCAAGTCACTAGGAGAGTAGTGACCTAAGGCACTAGTGGAAAGTGGTAATAGGCTAAACCTACCGATTTTGTAAGAAACCTTTCAACAATATTAATCAAAGTTCGACTCTTTTTCTCATTTTCTTTGTGCATTTGTTGAGTAAAATCTGCTGTTCTTTGAGTCCATTACATAATAATTAAGACTTATAGAATACATATACATAGCAGCAAAAAGAAGTTCACAGTATACTGAAAATGCATTACTACCATCTGTTTACAGAATACTGAAATTACCGGTAATCAGGTTTTGTTGGCTCATTAGCAAACAGAGTCTTTGCTAATGCTCCTCCCTCCATCAAAGCAACAGGGGTCAAATTCACTCTATCAGTGACATCACCCACTGCCCATATAGAAGGAACTGATGACTGAGAATACTCATTGACCTGCAGCAACACTACAATGAGAAACACGCAAGAGCATTGTGCAAGATTAGAAACACCATTGACATTCAAGATATTACCTCTATGGCGCCATTCTTATCCATCTTTACCCCCAAAGCTTCCAGCCCCAAGTTCTGCAGTTTATATAAGAGCTCACGACGTGAGTAATGAAGTAGTCACAGGCAATGACAAAGCTAATACATAATTGGTTAATCTCTGACTATTGTACATTAAAAACTAATATAATGGGTAAAAGGCACTGTATGCAACAAGAGAAGAAAGGATGACCTTCGTATTTGGTCTTCTCCCTGTCGCAAACATGACGTGAGAGAAACCATCAACAGTTTCCTTGTTGGTTTTTAATGACAAAGTTCCATCTGCAGACTTTGTGATAGCTTGGGGAGACTCTTCTGTGTGGAACTCAATTTCTCTCAAGGCCATCTGGTCAGCAAGAAAATCTCTGATCTGCAAAGCAACAAATGTAATAAAAAAGACAATCCCATATTTGATATGAAAGTAGCCAACAGCTTAAAAACGTGTGCATCATAGGCATAACACCACCTCCTCATCAAAGCCTCTCAGAATCTTCTTTTGACGAATGAAAACATGAACATCACTTCCCAAACCATTAAAGATGCCAGCGAATTCCAAACTAATGTATCCACCCCCGATAATTGCAATTTTCTTGGGCTTTTCCGGGAGATCAAGAGCAGCATCAGAATCAATAGCATACTCACTGCCGGGAATATCAGGAATAAAAGGGCGGCCCCCAACAGAAATCAAAATGTGTCTCGCTGAATAACGTTTCCCATCCACGTCAACGGTGTGAGGATCCACAATCTGTTTTCAATGATAAAGCATGATGTTATGCTGGTGAGACGTCAATATAAAGAAGCACCTTACTAAGTTTAAACTACCATCATAGCATAATCATCCCACCTTTCCACGACCTTCAACTAGCGTGACACCTGAATTATTCAGGATATTCTTGTAGATGCCTGTGAGGCGTTGAAGTTCAGCATTCTTATTAGCAATCAAGGTGCCCCAATCATGCTTGGGTTCAGCATCATAACTCCATCCGAATCCATGACTCTCCTCAAATTCATGAGAATATTTAGAAGAATAAACAAGGAGCTTCTTTGGCACACATCCTCGAAGTACACAGCTGCATAAAGGTACAAAAGACAAACATCAGACTACAGTTTCTGAAACAACCGCAAAAGCATGGTTTCCAAGCCTAGCTACAAACTTATGCAATATAGCAATTTGAGTAATTCAAACTCAAGCGAAGCTATGATTCTAGTTGAGAGTTGCAAGCTCATTTGGAATTTCAAGTTTCAGGGTCCCTTATGATCAAGTCGAGCTCAGGTTAGAGCTTTTCTAATTCAAGTCATGCTTACCCACACGGTCACACCTCTTTCTTTGAATCATTTGAGAGCCTAATCTAGCATGATGATCTTTCTCATTGGCTCCAGACCTCCACTAACATTCTACATAGCCATCAACTAAAACCCAATACAGCTAACATCTGACTTAGTAATCAGCAACAATAACTAAAATCCATCAAAAAATCTACCTACAAGAGCTAAAATTAGAAACTTTGACACGTGATTTTCTCATGCATTCAGAAATTAATATCATTATCATATATCATAACCGAAGAAACAACAGACGAAAATCACCAAAATAATCACTATAGTTACAAACAGCAATAATCAAGTCGGTATGTTCACTGAATACACAATTAAACAAAATCATATGAGCTAAAAGTAAGAACTTTAACGCGTGATTTTCTCCCGCATTCCGAAATAAATATCATCATCATCATCATACATTATAACAGAACAAAAAAAAAAAAAAAAAGACCACAATTACCATAATAACAAACAGCAATAGCAAATCAAATCATAAATTAATTAATTAAACCTCAAATAATCAACAAGAGATAAAGAAATTACGTTCCACCAACACCACCAGTAGTCTCAGACGAAATAGTACTAAAAGGAAGCTCACAAACAGCAACCGAAGCGCCGAATTGCGCAGCAAAACGCGAAGCTCTTACGCCGCCGCTACCGGCACCAATAGTAAAGAGGTCAAAATCGTAGTGCGCGCCATTATCGGAAGACGACGAAGTTGACGATGATTCAGCTCGAACGGAGAAATTGCGGCGGAGAAGAAGGTGGCGTTGAGGAGAGAGAAAGTGTAGGGTTTTGGGAGAAAGGCGAGAAGATGAGGAGAGAGAATGAGAGGAGAGAGAAAGGAAATTAGGGCGAGAAAAGCGTTTGCAGAGAGATTGGAGGGTTTTAGAGGAAGATGATGAAGAGAAGGTGATGGTGAGCTTTGGTGTGGTGTTGCTCAAACATGTCGCCATTTTTATGTGGAGTATAGTGTTTCTGGGTTTTTATATGTTTTGGGATTTTATTTAACAATCTCTTCTCAAATTAAATAAAAAAAGTAAAAAAAAAAAAAAAATTAAAATTAAAAAAAATTGGAAGAAATTACTACGTAATCCCCTCAAAAGGATGAGGAAACCAAAAATAGAGGGACAAAATTAATCAATTTAGAAGTACGAGGAATCCAAAAATAGAAGGAAAATAATGTGGTATGAGCTTTGGATTCTAAATTTCAATTAATAAAAAAATAATGAACTCGAAAGGAAGTGGAATTTAAAATAATTGGGGTAAAAAAAATTAGATTTCTTTAAGAGACGTAATTGTGCTTTGTGCACAATTTGACAACATCTAACAACTAAGATATAAGTTGGAATAGTCTTCTATTGCGTAATAGTGATAGTTTTAAAGTATGAAGGATTGTCCCATGTTGGAAGAAGAAACGTAGATGATTAACGAGTTTAATTGATTAAAGTCTTAAGGGTCGATAATCAAAACTTAGGATCAAAATTGTGTTACATTACTTGCCTTTGTGTGGCTCTAATCAGTTTCCACACCAAACAGAAAATATTGGAAGGAAAGTGAGTATTTGCTTACTTAATTTGACTTGTAGTGCAAAGATATACAAATTGATATGGGCCGGTCTTTTTGTTGTTGGCTTCAATATGTTGATACTTGATATAGGAGTATAATTTTTTAATTAAATACTAATCACGATTTTATTTTAAATCATTTGTTTTACTTTTGTATATGAATTAGAGTAATTGAGTAACAGTTACATACGATTAATAGACAACTGTCTGATATTTTCAATATTTATTTTAATGGTGAATTTTTCTTTTACGGATATTTTGATGGTGATTGAACATTGAAGTATCATCGTCACCTCCTCTTTAACACTATAATAACACTATAAGTACTAGTAACATATTTCTATATACTTTGATATGATAATACAGAATAGCTTGTTGGCTTGTGAGAGTTAAGACTGTCGTCATTTGCTTATTTAGCTAAGTACAGACTATAATTTTTGAGAGTTAAGACTGTCATCAAAGAGCACCAGTGGTCTAGTGGTAGAATAGTACCCTGCCACGGTACAGACCCGGGTTCGATTCCCGGCTGGTGCATTTGTATTTTGGCCTTTTTTCTTGCCTGTTTTTTTTCCCCTGTTGTAGACCTTGTAGTCACCCATATATGGTGCATGAATCCTGGGAAGAAGTTTTTTGCTATGAGATCTTGATCCATACTAGTATACTACCAGTACAACATTTACAACAAGACGTGCGATTCAAGCTTAACTCGCTCTTTACCTACAGAATTTATACAATGAATTAGGAACAATTCGAGCTTGGAACCTATTTTATCAGATCAGGTACCTCAGCCTTAACCTCGATCTTGGATTACCCATATATTAGCACATTCATTTTCAAATTTGACTCATTGGATGAATGTGTAAATTGATGAGGCCACGACATGGTTATCTTAGATAATCTATCAGTGAAGACATGTAGTAGAAGAACAATAATACTATATCAACAAGCCAGAAGGTAGTAGAATCTTACAACAAACTTGATAAACCATAATATCTTGTCATTTCTACATTCAAAATTTAAAAAGTTTACCAAATTCGATCAGATGAAATTCACATCAAAATACATTTGGTTGAGTAGAATATGGTCATTTAATTTAGAGGGACAATCCAGACTCCTCATCCTCCTCAAGACCTGAAACATACACAAAGTAAAGAGCCCAAATGAGACCAAACACACCCAAAAGGATCCACCCAAGAAGGTTGTTGCTCAACCCAAAGGGAAGTCCTGTTCCTTCTGTGCTCATTCTCTCATCAACAAGAGCCATTGCTGGGCTCGACATGGCGGTGGTAGCAGCTGCGGCTAGCATTGAGGCACCCATCATACCCTTGTTTGTGGTGGTTTCTTGGGTTGATGGCTTGTTCTCCATTGAACATGTTACCTTGCCACCCTTCTTTGTGATTGCTGGCAATCCTGAAACATGTGGAAGTTTCACCATTATTTCATGAGATATTGACTAAGTTTAATGAAATTGATCAATACACTAGGAACTATCATGAAATCTTCAGTTTAATACTTCTTTGTGTTCCGGTTTGGTTACATGTTGCTTTTGAATTGTAATTTACAAATACAAAAAAAAAAAAAAAAAAAAAAAAAAAAAAAAAAAAAAAAACTGCATTAAACATAGGGAATTACATACTCATACTTTAAATAATGCTTCTCATTTTAAATTTTAGTCTTATTCAAGTTTGTGCCAAGTTGTATGTATATCATTAGAACATATCGTCGTGTTGTGTAAGAACTAGACATCTCTATTTAAACCTACAATACTTTATACTTATAATTAACTTTAAGTCCTATCCTCTTATACGAAGTAAGATCTACTTTATGCTTAGGACGGCATACAAAACCCTTAAAATTAGGGGATCGGAGGTCATTTAATATTTTATCAATAAGGAATTGAGTGCATAATAAAATGAGAATCAAACTCTAAACCTTTTAATTGGGAAGCATCTTTTGACCCCCACTATAAGTCCATGAAACAATTAAGCAAATTCATCTACAATCAAACCAATTTGGATCAACATGAAAGTATTATGCTTTCTACCAACATCATATTGTTAGATTCCTATGCACAAGCATTAATTGCAAAATTACAAGACTTGATCCATTTAATAGAAAATAAAAATATGAATACGAGGAAAAAAGAAACAATAGGAGACGAACCAAGAACGGGAGAAGATGAAACACCAACCCTTCTGCTCTGCACAAGACTAGCACGGGCAACCAAAGATGCTGAAGAACTAGCAGTAATGGTAGCCATTGTTTTTTCTCTCTAATTTACGGTGTTAGACCACTGCTAAGCTAGCAAAGAACACAACTTTTTTGATGAAAAGTGTGTAGAAGTGTAGTTCTAAGTTGTGGTAGTAATGCAACTACTTCAAATTAATATTTGATGACCAAAAATAAGTGGCAATTGAACCACATAGCGTGGATAGATTGACGGCCCTCATTTCATATCCTTTATCTTCTATCAACCAATTGATCAGCTCCACGTGTTGTATCATCTATTTTAATTTATCCTATGTGGCACCATGTATTTGGTTGTTTTTCTCACCCTTGGATTGATGGGACCTCCTAAATTGTCCAAAACAGTTAATTTTGGGGTAAGAATGCCAAGGGGGGATGATAACAAAATCGACAAAATGGCAACAATTGAGCGGTTTTCATAAAATATGCTAAAAAATAAACGACATAGGCTTTCATGAGATATGCTAAAACTTAAACTAATTCCTTATGTGCGCTAGTAAGAAAAATAATATGAAGTACTCATTAGTTTCGGAACAACAGTGGCAATAGGTAGATTAGGTATTAATGTATATTCGATTACTTGTATTATTGAGTATTGATCTATGTCAATTGAGCTCCTAAAATGAATACAACAATTTCTCTGCCAATTAACGTCCACATGCTCACATTTCCTTCTAGGATTGCTTAAACAACAAAAATGTGCAGATATATCAACGATTGACCAACTCACATGCAATTAGCTGTGAGAAACAGAATATGATTATATTACACATATCTAGCTCCAGCTCCTTATACATTTAGGCAATTAGCTCTAAGAAAGCAAAGATATCATCACTAACCTACAGCTCAAATGCAGTTAGCAATCCTAGCATATCTCCGTGTAAATTTTGATACAGAGTAACCTGCTGTGAGAGACCGAGAGTTGAGGATTCACCCTTGATATTTCTCGGACTTGAGTACTCATGTTAAATGATCGTTAGCAGCTTAGCCAAGAGACAGACTGAAAGCAATAAGTTTCATTCAAATAAAAAGAATATCATATACCAGTACATAAAGCTGTCTTGATCGAGTTATATACAAGTAAAGCAACTGTCATTACAAAAAACTCTGCAAGTAATTTCTCATTTTGCTCACTATTGCTATAAGCTGGCTCAGATCAGCTCCCTAGAATACTCTGAGCAGGATACTGGAAAAGGAAAGAATTATAATTGGCTGAATTTACATGAATTAATTAGATGAAAGAATGAACTATTCTTGTATCTGTTTGTATGACTTGAAGAGTAGTTAACAACAAGCCAAAATTGGCAAAAGAATGTACTGTGAGTTGCCGCTGTTGGTCGAAATCCCGACCCTTGATATCATTGCAAGCTCCGACAAACCTTGTATTCAAGGAATGAAGAGCCTTCCTTCATGGGGTCTTGAAGAGCGTGTGAGCCAATTTCCAGTCTCAACTAAATCATATTACCCATGAAGATTACATTGTTGCACGTAGGGATGATCATAATTCGCGAATTTGTTCCAGTATCCTTTGAACTTCTTTATCCCAATATCCAACCAAGGTTTCATGATTCCATCATAATGTAGAACTGCTGCCTGTTCAATGTCCTCTAACCTCAATGCCGAATCAAATCCTAGCCCCAAAAGATGCCATCTTTGGTCCAAAGCCACAGTCTGATTATAGAAAGTGACCCAACCTAAAGGTAGACTTCCTGCCTTCCAAAGAGGCCTTCCATTGCCCTGCAACCAGATCCAATGAGGCAAGTCATGCAACGGTGATACATAATAACTAAGGTCATAGCAGAAATGTTAAGAATCCTCGGGTTGGCACCCTCGTGAGGAAGATGTAGAGAAAAGCGAAGGAATGCCATAAAAAATACTGCATCTATGACACTCATTTTATCTTTCTTGAGGGTTGTCAACTCCAAGGGTTAATGAAGTATTCACCTAGTCTTAACAGTTTCACATAAAAGAGACATTTTCTACTAGCGTAATTTATTAGTAACCACAACAAGAATCAATGCATAAGTCATTTTGAAAATCATGAGCAATTCAAGGAATTGTACAGAACACAGCCTGATCTTTGAGAACAAGATGACGGAAAGACAGACACAGAAACTGGGAAAATGGGAAGGGAAAGGGGAAAGGGGGTTGGGGTGATGAAAAAAGGTTGGATGAACAAAAAACATCATTAAAAATTAACCCAGATGCAACATGACCAATGAAGAAGAACAAAACAAGAGTGACAATATGGTACAATTAATGAGGAAACAAATCATTCAATTTACCTCTTGAAGGAATCTACGGTAGCTTGAGGTCAAATCATGGTGTCTCCACTGTCTGAGATCAAACAAATTCACCCCAAAAGCCCATGTACATGCATTGGCATCAAACTTCCTAGCCACCAGAGGATCTGAAAAATTGATGAACATCGCCATCCGCCTGAACGAAGACTTGTCTTCTTGACATGTCTCTACAGCACCATTAACTTTTCCCTTCATATCAATGGTCCAGAGACCACTTAAATCTCTTTGAACCACCACATCATGGTCGAGAAATACTATTTTATCTAGCAGTGGGAAAATTTCAGGAAGGTAAAAGCGTAGGTGATTAAGTAGAGACGAATATCTTGGATCACGGGAACCTTGCTTCTCGTGTGATGATTCATATTCCTGCCACCACTGAAAATCTTGCATATTTAGGACCTGGACAGTGGCTTTTCCAGGAGGATTTAACAAAAACCACATGGAGAAGGCAGGAAAATTCAGAGAATCTGTCAACACATGAAAGACAACTCTCTCCGGTTCCTGCAAGCAATACGAATGTAATGTCATATTTAAAGTGATAATCTGAGGGCAAATATAAATATATAAGTCTAAAATGAGTAGGCACATATAGCCAAAAGATTATGGCAGACTCAACAGAAATACAACAGGCAGTACATTGATTTCTACTAGAGTCCATCCTGGAAGTAAGGCAATTATTAAATGGAATCTGCTGAAACTATACTGCTAAAGCCTCACTCTTTTGGCTTCTTTTCGCCAAAAAAAGAAAAATAATAATAATAATAATAATAATAATAATAATAAATTAATTAATTAAAAAAAAAAAACAAAACAAAACAACTATTGCCACTAATAATGAAGAAGACAATAAGAAGGGGAGGAGTAATAATCCTAAACTTAGTCAATTAAGGCAATGATACGTTCGGATAAAGACCATTTCTACAACAGTCAGATGATCTGCCAGCCAACTTTCTGCTTCTAGTCAAGATATAAATATATAATGATAAAAGTATACACTGATTTTACATAAAAGGAAAGACCACAACCTTTGCAAACATCTCTATCCTGATCATCTGACTGTTGTAAAATTGCATTTAATGTTTTGATCTGAAACTCCCAAAGATACGTTAACAAATCCCTATTTTGCACGTCCCATCCATGAACATGGTTTAAAAAGTTCAAAATGTACAGTCCTAAAAGATATGATATGCAGTCCAATTCACTGCTGATATCAATAAGAAATCAGAACTCCAAAACACACAAAAAATCCATCAAAACACTAATCAGTTGCGGAGTAAAAACTAAGCGGCCTGATAGAGTTCGTCAAAAGAAATACCTAAGAAGTACTCATGTAGAAAACCCTTGTTCATAAGTTTCAAAAAGCAGATGCCTACTCAAAAAATAAAATTTAGATAGAGAGGGGACACATGCAAGAGACAATCATGAGTAAACACCATAATCAACACATAGTGAAGGGGTTTTTTCCAGCCACATAAAGATTTTCAGATATTGATTAAAGAAAAATGTATATAAGTAAAGTAGAGTGTAGAACCATAGAAAAGATAGAGGAAATGGCATTGGACACTGTGGAGTTTGCAATCACTTATGATAGAACCAAACCAACAGAATTAAGTGAAAGTTGGGGATTACCATGGCATTGGACACTGTGGAGTTCACAACCGCTGCAGCAGCCAAGACATTGTCAGAGAAGGTAACATAATGATGAAGATCAGGGTTGTAAACATTGTGTTGCTTAGGAAGCTTCTGTTTTTCAGACTGCAACATAAAGTAATCTGTAGTGAGCCGCATAGAAAGACAATGCAGGCCTTTTGGAGTTGTTCTTCCCGCAAGCTCTGTAAGAAATGTTGTCTGTTTCCTCTGCGACTGGACTTGTTCTTCAGCACTGTGTGTCATTGCACGGAGCTTATTAACCATGTTTGAGCAATCTGGAAATACATGATTTGCTTTTGACAAGGTGTTCTCCATAGATTTAATTTTCTGCAGACGGCTGCAAATACAGAAAAAATAGTACAACAGAAATTAGAATACATCCCATAACTTTTGATGACCAAATTTAAGGAGATACAGTACTAATCTTCTCACGAGGCAACAAGAATATATATACACGTTTGACATTAGAAAATCATAGCAATTAGCTACCGTAAAGAAACTATTTATGTTGATCACTTGCCCACAGTTTTCACAACTCGTCTAGTCATCCCTATCTACTCTGTTGATAACAAAGTAAAAGAGCTCCGAAAAGAAAACTAGGAAGATATTATTTTCAAGATACAGGTCACGACACATAAATCCTTGTACAGTCTGACATATTACCTTCTTGATAATTCTGAATCTTTTCTGGCTTCCCCCATTGCCCGTTCAACTTCTTTTATACGTAACTTCAACTCTTTCACTAAATGAGTATTGCTTGCAGCCGTAGCAAAACTCAAGTATGCCCTGGCCCTAATCACCTGATCTTTCATTTGCTTCACCTTCTCATCTGTAGCTTTCCGCGTATCAGGACGTGGAGGGGCCCGAACTCCATGATCATGTTGACTAGACATTTGATTTGAGTGAACCTGATACACCAAAAGGAGATGTAAATATGAGTCATGCGAGGACGATAGTTGACTACTGCACATTATCTATGATGTTTTCTGCAAGTCTCAGCTCTTCACATCAGAATAGAGGGTATTCTTGGAAAGGAAACATAATAATAAATTAGAACACTAAAGGATGACTATCTCTGAGGCTGACTAAACAATTTTAATGTGTGCTGGAGCAAAAATTTTGTCCTCTATCATTTTGAGCTATGAAGCACTCAGCATGATGTATCCTGTAAATTCTCACAACAGAAGTGGTCATGATACTTGATCCCCATAGAGGATAAATCTCAGCCATCAGGTAAAGTAAAACAATAGGAAACCTCGATTCAAACATGCCCCAATCTACCTATTACTACCAGCTCAAATTGTACGAAGAAAGGAGTTATGCTAGTCCATTAGTATCAAAAGTGAAAGTCATCAGCAACTGCTGTGAGCTAGCCACCTAAATGGTATCAATATATAAAGAATGGAGCTTCACCCTCATCCATGTCTATATTCATTACGGGATTTATCACTGTTAACAAGGTAGCTTTAGCTTTATTAGTCATAAGGCGTACCATTAGTTGCCTAGATAACTCAAATCACTCACTGGTGTCATGTCAGCAGCCAGCAATTGATGATGTGTAGATTGCTGCACTGCTTTTTTATTTTTGAAATGCTATAAATCACTATTGACCATCATTTATATAGTAGATAAGTGGTCAAATTGACATTTTCAGTCTGGGGTCAAACAGGCCAAGATGTGACAGGAATAAGAAACAAAACATCTCAAGAATTGGGTCACAACGTTGTATATTTGACAATATAGGCCCAGATATTTCAACTAGCTGCAACAGCTGAGCCCTACTAACTACTTGTGATAGCCTATAGTTGGTAAAGTGATTCTATCATCGGACTATTGAACAGTACAATATGGACAACCATAACAATTACGGCCAGGTTTTGTCCTCAAAATCCATAACTGCGGCGATCAAACAGGCATTAAAGGCTAAAATGTAATCCTAAGTTTACTCTTCAACTACTACAATAACAACATTCTGATATGATGATTCATGATCAATATGTGAAGTTCTATAATCATTTGTTATTAAATTTATTTCCTGTAACAAGTACCTCGTTAGTTTTCGTTACGAGTTCTTCCCTGAGTTGAATTGGCTTGACTTCTTCCCCAACAAGTTGCTGAGTTCCTAAAATGCCAAATCAATAACAACATTATCAATCCTCTCATCATCATCATCATCATAATCATCATATAGCTAAGAATCACCAAGCAAAATACAGTCAAGTCTACTAACCCCGACGTTGTGATCCAGACTCTGCCACCTTGCCGTCACTCGCCCTCGAACTCTGCACCGTTGAATCCCCACCCTGATTCTGATTAAAATTAACTACTGAGTAATTCTGATCTCTATAAACTTCTTGTTTAGGCTCTTTCACACCCTCCTTTGCTTCCTAATTTAGTTAAAATATTGAAAATCAAAATATTATCACTAAATCAAGCTGAACTAAAATCATCATAATAATCCAAAAATACACACTACATTAATTGCGCTTATATACCTGTTTAACTGCATTTAGTTGTAACGCATCTACCTTATATTGCTGCATCTTCAAAAAAAAAAAAATATTCAATTTCTTTGACTTAATCATATGCTCCGCATTAATCTATATACAAAAATGGAAAGAAATTAAATACTCCGTTAGAACGAAGAGAGAAAATACATACAATACTAGGTAAATCTTCAACGAAATTGCTACTTCCTGGAAAATTATTCACACACAAATTCAATCAGAAACATAAAACTATCATCAAAAAATAAAAAATGAAGATCAATAAACATAAAAATTACCTTCCGAAGTAAGAGTTTTCAGTCGAATGGAGACTAGAACAAGAGGAGCAAATACAGAAAGAGAGAGAAAAAAGAGGATGAAGATCCTCTGCCATCTTCGAAACCGCTTCATCAATAATATCAAATCAAATCAAATTAATCGAACCAAAAAAAAAAACCAAAAATCAATCGATTAACACGATCAAACAAATGAATCGAATGAACAAAAATGTGTAGAAAGAATAAACAAAATTAGAGGAGAGAGATCGACAGTTGTGATTGAATTTTTAGGGTTTCCTAAAAATTAGGGATTTGAAATTGGAAAAAGAATAATTAAAAATGGAAATTGATTGTAGAAGAAGTTAGAGAGAGAGAAAGAAGAGGAGGAGAGAGAGAGGTTCTTCCATGTTAGCGCTGTAATGTAATGTAAGGTAAGGTATCTTATTATTAAAGCGAGTGGTTTTAATTAGGGAGTAAATTATTTAATTAATTAATTTAGATGGGTAGTTAAGTGCGGAGAAGTGTTTACTTTCTAGTCATAAAGTGGAGCCCACACGCCATAAGTGACAACCCTGTGATGGTGATTAGTTTGTCACTTTTTCAACAGTTTTCCGGGACTAAATTACCTACCCACTATGTTTAGAATAGAAGCCGCATACGTTGCCATGGCCCTACGCTTGGTTTGCATCGCCGACATTAAGGTTATATTCAGATACTCCTTTTGTCCCTATTTTATTTGCCCCATTGCAAATAATTGGGTCAAATTTTAAAATTTTTTACCGTAAATTCTCATTAATCTATAAGAGATAATATAGTTAAGTGGAGACTTGTTGAATTAGTCTTATGGTATATTTTATTAAGGAAAAAGCTATATGCAACCATTAAGCTAAAAGTGAAAAGAATAGACATTAAATAAACATTTATTACACCGATTTACTTGTGAATTGTCGATAAATTTCCAACTTAATGTACTAAAAAAGAAGTATATCAAATGCTTATATGCAACCCATAAAGCTGCATATAGCATTACCCTTTTAATATCAACTTTTTTTATATAATTTTCATGCATATAGAAATGGAATTATATACGTTTTAAGATGCGTCTCGAAAATCATAAAAAGTCAAATGGGGCAAAAAAATAGCGACAAAGGGAGTATGTTCGATCCTGTGTAGTTTAGTTGACTTAATACTAAAAAAATGAAGAATTCATGAAAATTACGTTATGTTTTTTTTTTTCTTCAATTTTTTTTGTTGTTGATTCCAACTTTATATTTAACTTGACTTATTTTTGTCGGATTTTTATGTTAAATTGTTGCTGAGTAAAATAGATTTTACTTGATTAAGGCTTATTGTTAATTTAAATTTTACTAATTCATTTGTATATGTATTAAGGTATATTTATTGTACGAGATTTTCAATTTTACAAATTAAATTTATTATTACTGAATAAAAATGAATACATATATAATTATGCGTGCAGCAGGTTTGGCTGATATATTTTACTTGTGGCTGATATGTTTCATTTGTTGGCTGATATGGTTTTTGTGTTGGCTAATATATTCCTTTTGTTGGCTGATATGTTTCTTTTAAAAAAATATTTAATATGTTTCTTCTGTTGGCTGCTATCAGACATCAGTTAGCTGATATATTTCTTTAGTAGGCTGATATCTTTATTTTGTTGGCTGATATATATATTTTAATTGTTGGCTTATATGTTTCATTTTGTTGGCTAGTGTGTTTATTTCGTTGGCTTATTTGTTGATTTCATCCTTTTGTTGGCTAATATGTTTCTTGTGTTGATTGATACGTTTTTATTAATGCATGCTATGTCCCTAATGGGTGACTGATATCAAACATCAATTGGCTGATATGTCAATTTTAATAAATGATATGCGTCATTCATTGGCTAATATGATTAACAACATACAATATATTTTTATTTCCTTCTCACTTTCTCTCTACTCCTCACTCTTCTTCACAAAATCATGGGCAAAATCATATTAGCCAAGATTCCTTTCTCTTTCTTCTAATCCTATCACCACCAACACAACCGCCACCACACTCTCTCTCCTTCCTGCCGCAGCCCCCACCCACCACCAACACAACCAACCACACTCTCTCTCCTTCCTGCCGCAGCCCCCACCGACCACCACACTCTCTCTTCTTCCTGCCACATCCACGACGAAGCCCAACCGCAACTAGGCGGAGTGCTCAACCACGCAAACCAAGCAGCGAACGCCTCCACCTCTGCCATTACCTCTGCATCCGTCATCTACTTCAAACAGAGCAAATCATCAATTTCGATTCAATAGCAAATTTTGAAACAATACCCCCCTTTGGATTGATTATGATTGTTTTATGCAATTGATGTGAATTTTTTATTTTGATTTAGATCCGGAAAAAAGGAGGAGCAGAGGATAGAGAAAGAGAAGGGAAGAGAAGAAAGAGAGAGAAAGAGAAGGGAAGAGAAAGAGTGTGTCGCACAAATAATTGCAAGATGATCATTACGAGATGATCATTATGAGAGAGTCTTAAAAAAAAAAAAGATGATAATTATGAGATAGACTCAAATCGATTGTTCGAATAAATAGTACTATTAATAGCAAGGAAGATATTTATAATTATAGTTTGGTAGAATTGCAAGGACTAATTAAGGAGTAACGGCTAATTAGTGAAGTATGTAGTGCGATCTTATGCTGCAATGATGACACTTTTAGTCTTTAGGAGAGATAATGCTAGGTAGGCAAGAATGCAAGATAGCGTAAACATTAATATGCATTCACTTCATTTTTCAAGAGGATGGTAAAATAAATGGTAATTGGTGAATGATGACCCAAATTGAAGAAAAATAACACTCCTGCATAGAGATGTGTACATACATGATGAATTGATGATGCATCATTGAAGTTTTTGAGATTATAACTTATTGATGAATTGATGATGTATCATTGAACTTTTAGTACTCTATTATCTAACGCCCCGGGGATACTCGTTAGTTTTTGTCTACTTAGTTATATGCTAAAGTAATTAGTCAAATGTAAGAAAAGTTTCATTTCAAACAAATGTTAAGCTGTTATAACTCCTTATAAGTTCTTACTTTTTTTATTATTATTATTTTTGTACCACAAAATTACTTCTTAATGTATCAATTGTCTACACAATCGATTTTACAACTTTTTACTCATATGTTTGATGAACTTAATTATATATAGCGTAGGAGTATTATATTATGTGTAATAATAGTAGAAAATGTAAATAATGCTCCCATGTTTACTGGGTGTATGACATGAAGATACATAATATTATTAACAATTTATTATACATATGTATAAGTACTCCGTATCGTTCTTAATTACAATATAGATGTTATCCATGCAAGAATTAATAAAACAAAGTTAAGTACTATCACCATAAACGGATTTCTGTAATTAGAAATCATTTTCCATTAGCTATGAGCCACTGAGCATGAAAATTTTCCTTTAGATCTCATACACGACCCACCTCTTGTTTGTTTGTTTTTCTATAAGCCGTTACCAAAATGGTCACAATATTATCGTTATGGCATTGAATGTATGAGCGGATGAGCCACAACATAAGGCATACTTTTTCCCTAAACAAATAAACATCCTTTAACCTGAAGGACCATAAATGGTTCTTTGCTTTAAGAATAGGATAGGATTGTAACTGTATTGCCCCAAAAAGTGCAAAAGGCTTTATGAGTCTCATTCTTTTTCTTCTTTTAGGCCACATTAAACCATTCAATTCCTAGACAAAATGTCAGCATTTTTATACGCAGCAGTTAAAAAAGTTCAATTTGTCATTAATGTGACACATGATAGAATAAAGATTTTTACGCAAATTTATAGAGTATAAAAGTTGTGAGTTTGTGACATGTAGCTTTTAGTTTTAATGGCCTATCCAAGTATCCGGTAATACAGAGTGATAGGTGGTGATATATGGAGTAACATTTTGTGAACTGCTAAACGTCGCTCTCAATTTACCAGACGTTGCTCTCAGTTTGACATGAAAGAATCATATTTATATTTTGCTCTCAATTTAACAGACGTCGTGAGTGTTGTGAATTTTCTGTTTTTTTTTTATTTATATACGAGGGGTAAATACAGAATTTCAAGGAAAAAATGCGAGCGACGCCTAGTAATTTGGGAGCGACGTTTAACAACCCCCTTATTTTTTGGTGTTCACCCATTTCATCCTTTAGGCTAATTTAGATTCGAGGATAAGTTATAGATGGTTAGGTTCCAGTCTGCTCCCAATTGTTGTTGCGGGGGATCGAACACACGGTGCTCCCTACCAAGTATAATCCCAATCACCACTATACCAACACCCAATTGGTGAGTAATATTAGGATTATAGGAGTAATAAACTTATAAGTAATTTTGTACAGTATTTATTTAGAAAAATGAATTTCAACATTGATTTTTATAAGGGTTATATAAAAGTGAAATCATCATTGAAGTAAAAAGTTAGTGCTAAATTTAACATTGTTCGGTTTTTACTTGTTTTAGTCTAATAAGTTTGGATAAATTCAGTTCAAAAAAAAAATAAATTCTAATAAGAATTACTCAAGTTCAAATTACAACCAAATTAAGTTTTAATAAGGTCTCATAAATTCAGATAAATTCAAATAAATAAAAATTAGAACACACCTCGATTGATAATATTATTTTTGCATGACATTTCAAATGCTAAATTTATGCTAGTATTTATTTATTTATTTTTTTTAATAAAAACCCATTAATTTATTTTATTATTTTATTTTTTTCATTGGGCAACTCATAGCCCACATGGAGAGTACTAATACTATGAGTAAAATCTGGCAGACAACCTTAAATGATGGTACTCACTCTACTCAGATTAGACTTTCAGTGGGCTGCATACATATGTACTTGACTACTTGTATATAGTTTGACATACGATCATTAAATCTATAAAATAAAGTTTCTTATACAATATTCATATTATTAAATTTGGTACACAATAATATAATGGGTACTCGTAGCAAATATTATATGAGTATGATGATATGATTGGGACATTATAACTAAAATTGTGCCACCATCGTCATCAATATTGACCTTATGTGTTTATGCGCATGTACCTTGTATGTGCATATTCCTTGTGATGACATGACGAGTATGTTGAGAAATTGGAAAAAAATGTTATTTAAATAAATAACTTATAAGTCATTACTTGGTCTTTTGGTTCCTTGTTTTGAATTATTGATGAATTCAACTTTTTTGTACTAGGATTTGTATATTTTAAAAAAACATAATAACTTCAATTTATATTAAATTTATATGTTGATACGAGTATACATCTCTTACAATGGATTCTAATAAAGTCAGAAGTATCATATCTAATAAGGTCAATTTCAATTGGATAAAAAATATGAAGTACAAGAAACTAATTATGAAATAAAAAGTAATTGCA